CTCCTGTGGCCGTGTCCACGGTGTGAAGCATCGATCCCCAGGTGGAGGTGACTGCTCCCTCCTTGAACTCTCCCAGGGTTTTCTTTATGTTGCGGTGGCAATTATGCTTAGTTAGCCTTGTATTCGATTCTTTCTGGCTCCAGACTTTCCTCTTCCCTGAACCAAATTATAATCTCCTGCAAGGCAGTGACTGTATAGGTTTTTTTTTTTTTTTCCTTTTAATTTGCTGCATCTTCTGATATGGTGGCTTGCACAAAGCAAATGCTCCACAGTTATCTTTAATGAAGTAAAACTGCTGTTTAACACACAAGTTAAACTCGGACATTTTCCTAGGATGCACGTTTCCACTGTAGATCATGAAATTGTTAGAAAGCAAAATGTAGGGAGGGACTCAGTGAAGGGACCTCCCTTCAGACATATCAAAATTCTGATAGTTCCTTCAAAATTAGTTCAAAGCTGGTTCACAATGGAACGTGTAGGACTTTTGGTTAATGTTCATAACCTCATATTGTCAAAAAGTCAAGGTATAGCCCCGTACCATATTGACTTTTTTTATTTCTAGCAGAACAAATTGAATGATCAATAATATCCTCATTTGAAATGTTTGATGTCAAAATTTAGAAAAAAATTTCAATTTTTAATTATGAGACTAACATAATAATAAAAATTTAGAAAAAAGAGGAAATTCACAATTGCTCCTGGTTTTATAGCATAACACAAAAGCCATGGTGATTTTCCATTCTTTTAAAATATCTATGTTTTTATAATTAAAATTGAGTATACCTACAATTTTATGTTCTGTGTGTGCTTAACAGGTTATTATGTTTGATTTATATATTGCTAGGAAGTCTTGCTATTTTTATTTTAAATGGTTCCGTGATGTTCCCATGAGGGAATATTTATTCATTGCCTTGTTGTTGTATCTGATGTGGAGTTATTACAAATAATTCTGAAATGAACATCTTTATTTATATAATTTTCATACTTTCTGGATTATTTTTTTAGGGATTGAGTCTCAGAAATGAGATCACCGGATTATAGGGTTGATCATGTTGTACCTACTTGTTTATTTTTAAAGGCTACAGAAATTTTAATTGAAACGATGAGACCTCTTCCTGTGTTGGATAAAATTATTTCCTTTGCTAGATTCTGCTTTTGCAGTGATGAAGAATTTCTGGTTACTTTTGTGTGCCTGGCTCTTCCCGAGTACTATAGTAGATACAAAAATGTATAAGTCAAGGTTCCTTCCTTCTTCACGCTATTGTTTAACCAGAAGAGCAGACTGGGTCTGACACACACAAAGAATAATGAGGCTACGGTTGAGATGTCAATAGTAATTTCTGAAAATTTGCTTTAGCAAATCTTGAGCTCTCTGGAGGTGGAAATACCGGGAAAGTTTTCATGGAAGAAGTTAAGTTTGAATAAAATAAAATGATATCTTAAAGTAAATAGTAAGCACAAAGAACACTTCCGATTAATTTTCTTTACCTGGCTTACTTTTCCTGGAGATAAAATAATGATTTTCAGTTTTCAAATATTAAATGTGATTACCTTTGTGATGACAACAACGATTTATAATTGGTGCGCTGCTCTTTGAATCCTTCCTCATTTCAGTGCTGAAATTAACTTATGTAAAGAGCCCTGTTGGAATAGAAATCTTTTCAGAAACATTGCTTCTCTGTCCCTTAATATGAAAAGTATGAATTTTTATTAGTTTTGACTGGATTACAGTTTATTTTTGCCTGAGACTAAACATAAGTTTCGTAATAGTGCGTGCTACGTCCTTTGCCAATGGCTGATGCATATGTCATTCCACAGGCCTAGCTTGAAGTGTGGACCTGGCTGTCCCTGACAAAATAGGGTGTTTTTGAGGCCTATTTGGGATTTGGAATGGCTTCTCTCGCCTCTGGCAGTCTCACCTGTGTCTCAGCCAAAGTACACTGGCTGTCGCCCCTCCTGAAAGGACAGGATTCTGGGGTTGTAGCCATAATTTCTCCCATGCATTAAGATACGGCCTCTGCTCTACAGGACCTCAGAGATTTGTGGGGGGACCAGACAGGAGAGCAGATAAGTTATGATTTGGCACGGGAAACTGCAACCATGGGAATCCCGCTGGGCTCTCTGTGCACGATGGCTGAAGAATGAGGTCTGTCTCGGGAGAGTCAAGGTTCGGCTTTCCAGAGAGAGGGCATTTGAATGGGGACTGGGCAGATACGTTAAACAGTGCCAGGTGAAGACCAGGTTTGGGGAGAGGGTGGAACAAGGTGTACCTGTCGAGGAAACAGCCCAAGACTCAGTTCCTGGGGAGTACTGAGGAGGGCGGGAAGGTGGGGCCCAGGGGCCACAGGGAAGGGTTTGAATGGAGACCTTTGGGCACATCGATAGAGTCCATGGCTGTCTACTTTCTGTATTTAGAGATGCTCAGCTCTAATGACAAGCTGAGCAATATGACAAATATTTTTACAGAGGGATTATTAATAGCAAGGCTTAGAGTATAGGAACGGGGGTAACCAAAGTGCTCACTGGGGATTTTGGACACCATCTTGCTTCACAGTAACTGTGTTTCCATGAAGATTAGCTTTCGTCCAGTCTTGCTGCCAGAAACCTCTCACTGGATGTTCAGTGCCCGAATGTCTTATCTTTTGGAAAAGAGAAATAACGAGGGATAAAAGGATTGCCAACCCTCCCAACCCAAATACCCAAAAGATTGAAATTGCCTATTATCTTGGGTGTTTTCATCAAATCTATTTTATTGAAGACTTTAAGGTCAAGATGCTTAAATATTTAGCCTAGAATTTGCTTTTCAGCCTTGTTTGAAAAATGCTCCTGCTTTTCAACCAGGAAAATAGATAAATAAATATACAGTAATTTGCATGCTAATGTGTTGATTATTGGCTACTGTATTACTAGAAACCCAGTGGAGATCATTTGCTTCCTTTTACTTTAGGTCTATTGGAAATGTTTTTTAGGCTTTCGGACATCTCTGAACTTAGGTGGTGGTTGTATTGCTGTTACAATTGAAAGCCTTTTTTTCTCACCTGGCTCCCATCGATCAGCCCAGTGAGAACTTGTAAATATGCGAATCTTTGTTTTGTGATCAATATTTTGAAGAAGAAAGGGCTCTTGTGCATTTTATTCCTTCAGTTGAGCTCGTGCTACTGGAGAATCTGTGGGAAAATAAAAACAGAGACTTCTGGAAGAAGAGACCATATACACCCAAGTGAAGGAGAATTACCAGATTCAGGCTAATCTTTAGATTGGTTTGATCTTTTATATTAACATGCATCCTGGGTTTGTTAGGAGTGATAAAAGCCAGGGAAGCTCACTCAACCCCTGGTTGCAGAGAGGAAACCAGGACGCTACTGCCAGGAGCGGTATTGCACCAGGCACAAGGCAGTGGCATCACAGTAGTGGTCTCAGAAAGAAAAGCAGGGCAAAGATTTGCGAGAGGCTCCAGAAAAAACCCCGGCAGAGTGTCACTGATGGCTTGGATATGAAGGGCAAAGGATGACAAGGAATTAAAGGCCATTTGTTCTGAAATGGCTTACCTGGCTCAAATAAGTCCTTGATGTGAATATGGACAGGAAGTTCTGTTTCTTTTTTCTCTTCCTTTCCCCCTTCCCAAGTCCTATTTCTTAAGACATTGAAAAAGAAAGGAGAGAAAAACCAGCAAGGATAATTTCAGAGCCTAAATGATGAGTCACTGGGTGTGGCGGTCCCTTGCACAATATGAGCTAAGAAATGAAGTGGAGAGAGAATTAAGTTAAATACCGTTCAGTGACTGCCTTATGCTTATTTTTCTTGAGGCTGTCGGGAAGGGTGGACATAACATCATATACATTCTTATCCAGGATAAAATGTAGTTTATCTTCTGTTCTAAAGGCAGGCAGATGGGGGCAGGGATGGGGAGAGACGTGGATCCATTCATGCATCTCAGCACCCCAGCGTGCCAATAGCAGGTACCCCACCTTTCAGATAGCGTTGGGTTTGTAAAGGTTTTCATAAAGTTATCAAATAATATGTACTCATAAAAATGCCAATGATGTAGAAATAGACAGATGTGAAAATCAGAGTAATCTATTCTCCTGAAAGTAACTCAGTTCCACTTAATGCATTTATTTGCATACATACATGTACACATATGATTTTTAACACAGATGGGAAACTTTCTGTTTTTACTCCCAGATTTTTAAATGGCTTTTCTTTGTAAAATAAGTGCTGAGCTCCAGAGAATTTTGTGTACGTCCCTAGCCAGTCTGAGCTCACTCTCAGCAAACCAGCAAACATAGACCCTGGATTCAGAATTCCAGCAGGTTCAAATCCCAGCTCCTTCCTCTACCAACCTTGTGATCTTGGATTCTTTCCTCAGTTTCCTTGTCTGTAAAATGGGGGGATAGGGTATTTGTTTCGCAGCATTGTTGTGGGCACCAATTAGATCTAAAGCACAGAGTGAGGACCAGGAGCGTGTCTTGTGCCCAACAGCTTTAGTGTGTGCTGAGCTGATCATGTCTTTGAGAATGAACTCTAAGTAGGGAGCGGCTCTCTCCCTCCCTCCTGCAGTTCTCTGAAGTAGAACTGGGACTCATTTAAATATCTGATTCCAAATCTTCACCCTCAGGATGCTGTTATCAATTATTTTGATATTTTATTAAGCCCATCTAGCTATTTTCTGTTTCTTTTGGAGCCTCAGAGAGCATGTTATTGATTAATTTTATGTTTCAGGCTTTTAACTTTTTGTTCCCAGGGCTTTGGGAAAAGTACAGATAAAAGACTTTTTGGTGGGACCTACAGGCAGGGATTGAAGTTGTTATTTCCTCATAAGGCATATGTTTAACAACAATCTTCAGTCACGAGTGGGCACGTGCACGCACACGCACACGTTCACTCGGGGAATCTCCTCCTGCATCCTCCTAGGCTGCTCAAACACTTTGCTTTTAAAAGCCATGGGCGCTGGAGGTTCCATGATGAATAGTCACCCTGTTTTGCCTGTTTCTCCACAGGAACGCACTGTGAGCTGTACAAGGATCCCTGCGCCAACGTCAGCTGCCTGAACGGAGCCACCTGTGACAGCGAAGGCCTGAATGGCACATGCGTGTGTGCACCAGGGTTTATAGGCAAGTAATACAGGAAGCAAGTTTTCAGATTTACCCCCAAATCCCTGGGATTGCAGATGTTAAAAAAAAAAAAACCAACAAAACCAAATCCTCCATGAGTGAAATATTGCAAAACACGAATATAGTTGCAAAATGTAATGAGGCATTGCTTGGATGAAAACAATCAACTGTGTTGTCATTCAGTGAGGCTCTTCTGAAATCAGCGTTTGGTGCTTAAACTTGCTGGGGCTGTCATGGCTGCACGTTTCCAGGGCTGTGGCTTTGGAACGTGAGAAACGAGCTGTTACACCTGAAAAAGTGTAAGTGCTAATGAAAGTCAGGAGGGGAAAGAAGGATCCAGTGTGTCTTCTGCAGAAGCTGCTTTCAGCAACCCCATTTATTTTTACTAAAAGACGTGAAAGTGTCAGGATTTTGAAAACTGAAGAAAACTGGTGGTGGGAAGTAAGGGGGAGATACTCCAGGTCCAGGATCTGTTGTGAGTGACATTAAAGACCCCACAGGTAGGGGAGAGCGGGGTGACAGGGCTGGCTTCCCCAGGTGTCTGGGTGACCACCGAACACTGGGCGTGAGGAGCCACTTCTAGGTGAGGGATCCAATCTGACTTGGAGTCCTTCTTCTAAGTCTCCTCCTCGTGAGCCTCAGGGAGTTTGTGAATCTCCAAATATAGACGTGGAATGTTCTATGGATGTGAGCGTGTGTGGAGGGGAGCCTCCAATTCTCATCAGGTTCTCAGAAGGAAGTGTGAACCACTGGAATAGAAAATGTTCCATCCTTTTCTTTTCCAACAGAACCCAGGAGTCCTGAAATTTAGAGAGTAGGACGAAGTCTACGAGGGTTGTCCAGAAAGTATCCAGCCAGAGTCATTTATGATATTAACAATGGCTGCACACTTTCCGGACAGCCCTCTCATGTTTTCAGAGCTTCGATCAACAAAGCCCCAGGGTCACTCTGGTTTGGAAATTGGGCGAGGCTGACATATCAGGTGCCCACAGAAGAAGGGGGGCACGCAAGCCCCAGAAAAAGATGTGTTATCATTGGCTGGAGAGCACCTTGCTGGGCTCTCCTCCCTCCTGCAAAGCCACTGTGGCCCCCTCCCAAATTCTGGAGAATTTCACAGAGCCTGGGTCCCTAATCCATCCCAAGGCAGCCTCATTTGTGCTTCTAGGGAAGCTGCCAACAGCCAAGATGTGGGAGAAACAACTTCTGATCTTCCTTCTATCTATGTGTGTCACATCCTGTGTTTTCCTTTTGGGTTTTCCTGGGACTGTGAAGTGGGCTCACTCCAGAAAATGACTCGCAGATGGTTTTGTTTTGCTGAATGACTTATAAACACACACAGACGTTAATACTCATCCGTGGTGGCAAAAATAATATTGGGGACGCATCCTGGGGTTTTTTCCAGACATTTTTATCCCATGAGTAATAAAAAGCATGGAAGAAAAATTAGAAAATATGGGACTATAGGCGGAAAAACCCACCACATAAAAATGCACTACTAGATAACTATTATTAACATTCTGATACATTTTGATATCCAGGGATTTTCCTGAAGGTCCCTGTGTGTATAGTATATAGTGTATAGTGTATATGCATATATATTTGAACATAAAAGGAATCATTCTGCTCATACTATTTTGTAGCCTACTTTTCCCTTAAAAATATATGTGTCTCATAAATGTGTTTTCATATCAAGGGATTGCTTCTATTCTATCATTTTTACTGGATGTTCTGCAGTCCATTGTATGAAATATTATGACTCTTTTTAGTCTATCCACAGTTCAATATTTGGGCAGCTGAGAACTTTTTCCCTGTTATAAATATAATTGAAAGAAATATTCTTGTGTGTACATCTTTGGGTTATTATTTTTTGGCATAATTTCTTAGAAATAGAATCCCAGGGCCTGGAAGAGTACATACGTATTTCCAAAGAACTCTCCAGAGAAAATTCCTGGAGAGGAATATTGACGCCTACCAAGAGTACACAGGAGCATTTATTCCCACATCTTGACACAAATACTGAGAATTGTCATCCTGATGGTCAAAAGTATCATTTTAGTGTTGTTTTACTTTGTTGGTCTTTGATTTCTAGTGAGGTTGAAAACTTCTTAAATATGTTTCCGGTTATTGGTGTTTCTTCTTTTGTGCACTTCCTATTCCTGCTCTTTGTCTGCTGCTCGGCCAGACCGTTCCTGCCAATCTTTATTCTGCCTGATTTGAAACAGCCCATTATATTAAATACTTTACATTTCTCTGCCATAGGTTGCAAATATTTCCCACTATCATTTGCCTTTTCAGTATCTATAAGATATTTTGTTTTCCATATATCATAATCTAATTTTTACATAATTACATCTGGATATTTTATTTTGGTTTCTTTTATTATTGTTTCATGCTAGAAAGATTCTGTATATCAAGATTTTAGAAATATTCTATATTATTTAATCATGTATGAGTTAATTTTGTGCATTTCAATCTTTAATCCATCTGAAATTTACTTTGGTATCTATGGGAGAGAAAATGTCATCTTTTCTCGAAAATATTTAGCAAATCTCCAATTGCCTACTCAGCACATACTCTTGGATGTCTCAAGGTACCTCAAACTCATAGATCTTCTTCTTCTTCTTTCCTTCTTTAAGTGTTTGCAAGCTCATCCAATGGTATCACTACCACCCCAGGTTGTTCTGGCCAGAAACTGGGGAATTATTCTGATACCCTCCTCTTCTTCCCACTTATTGCATCCAACTACTGAGGACTCCTAAAAACCTCTTATATCATCTCGCTTCTTTGCATAATCAGCACCAGGCTGCCTTCCCCTCCCATCATCACTAGTACAGTGACCCCTTTGAACTGGTCTCACACCTGTGCTCCCTGACCCCTAATCCATTTTCCACACTGCAGAGTCTTCATGCAGTGATAATCTAATCTCATCACTCCCCACCTAAAATCGTCTATTGGCATTTCATTGTCCTTAAGGAAAAGTTCGAGGTCTTTAACTTGATCTTAAAGACCTGAATGGTCTGCCCCCAATCTGGCCTTTCCAGCCTTGTTTTGGGCCCCTCTGCCTGCTGCGTATCTGACCACACCACATTAGGCTCTTTTTTGTCATGTTCTTCCCCTCCCCCTCCTGCCTGGCCATTCCCCTGCCCATCCCCCACCCCCACCACCCCCATACACATGCAGCCAGCAAGTCCACCCAGGGCATTTCTGCATGGTACTCACCCTGATGACAGGGGGCAGTAGGACTCACTAACGTAGGTTCAAGCATCACTGTAACTGGTTTTAAAACAACAACATGTCTCTTTCTATTCAGTCTTGGTAATTTTTCAGCCCGCAGAGGACTGTAGAATAGGTCCTTAAGTTGTTGGTGGGTCTACTGTTAATGTGTTTTGCAGAAAACTGGTCCCAGGAGATGCTCCATGGAGAAAGGGCTCTGTGACCAAATAAATTTAAACAGGGTTCCTGCCACGTGGGGATTCCTAGAGGGTGTCACACACCAAAGGCTCTCAGAGGTCTTGTCGTAAAGAATTGCATTTGCCTTTGTTTATTTTCCAAATATAGTTGATCATAGAACCTTTTATTTCCCCTGAAAAAATAACCTGTGGTATCCTGAGAGCTAGTGATCCATGGGAGAGGCTGATAAAGTATTAACTGTGTCCACCTAAGGAGTACGATGTCCTTTTCTTTTAGTTGCTACCTTAGAACCAAATATTCTTTCATTATACCTGAGGTTTAGCAAACTTACACTTGGCCAACTGCTGAGTGCAAAAGCTCCCTACTTGGCCAGGCTGAGTGAGTTAGGCAAGTCATTGTTATATAATTAGATACTCAATCCAATGTCACATTTACCTCATGACACTGGCTTTTTTAGACCAGCAGGTGAACTCAGGTGTGTGGTGTGTTGAACTTAGGCTTCTGGCTGAAAACATACCCCCTCCAGTCATGTGAACCGGACAGCACCTCCCTGTTCTCTGCTCCCTGCCTGCCTTCCACACAGCAGGCTCCCTGAGTCCCTTCACCTGGCCTGGGTCCTGCCTTTCAACTACTGACTTACGTGGTGTCCACTCTTGTTTCCAAGGCTTTGCAGTTCTGCCCCCTACTATTGTTTGGCTGAGGACCAGTAGATGGAAGGAAAGGACACCTGGTGCAACATTGATTTTCTAGGATCTGCTCTATTTCCTACCTGAAACCTGAAAATGCCATCAATGCTTTAATCTCAGTGAAATTTTAATTTGCATTTCTTTGATGTTGAGCATCTTCATGTGGTTATTAGCTATTCATATATCTTTACTTGTGAAGTATCTTTCCAAATCATTTGCCCATTTAAAAAAAGTGTTTGTCATATTACTGACCTCTAAGGTTTTTTTTATATTCTGGATACAAGTCCTTTGTCAGATATTCATTTTGTTCCACCACGTAGTTTCTTAATGGTATCTTTTAGGGAGCAAAAGTTCTTAATTTTGGTAATGTTTAATTTATCAATTTTTTTTCTTTTATGGTGCTTTTTTTTTTTTTTAGTATTGTAAAAACTCTTTACCTACTTCAAGATGATTAAAATTTTATGTAGTATTTTCTTCTAGAAGGTTTTTTTTGTTTTTTTTAATTTTTTTTATTTCCGCGTATTATGGGGGTACAGATTTTAAGGTTTCAATAGATGCCCATTTCCCCCCCCCACAAGTCTGAGTCTCCAGCATGACCATCCCCCAGATGGTGCACATCTCACTCATTATATATGTATATACCCGCCCCCTTCCCCCCTCCCACCTGCCCAATACCCTATTACTGTAGTACCTATGTGACCACTTAGGTAGAATGTTTTAAAAATAGTTTTTGCTTTTAAGTTTAGGTCCAGAATCTTTTTTGGGTTAATTTTTGTGTATGGTATGACTTAAGGATAAAAATTTATTTTATTTCCCATGTAAAGATTCAGTTAGTCCAGAATCTTATGAAAAATAAAATCTTTTCTCCATTGAATTCCATTGGCACATTTACCAGAAAACAAT